TTGTATTTATTTCAGAATCTGTCAATCTTTCATCAAAACAGGACATTTCGTAGTGCAATTCAATCGACCTATGGATTCCATATTTTTCCCTATCTTCTGCTACTTTTCCGTCATATTTCTCAATTGTATGTCCTTTTCCCATCCTTTGTTGCTTCCTCCCTTGCCTTTTTGTGTTATCATTATCTAGCGCATCATGTGATTTGGGGACTGTGGAGACATCATCATATATGGCATCAGCTAGCACGTCATGTGTTTTGACCCCGACCTTTTCATCTGAACCCTGCGTTGTTTCTGGTCCGGGAACTTTTGCTTCTCCCCTAAGAAATGATGTGTTGTCCTTTGAAGGTTCTTCTTCCCAGTCTTCATCAGAATCTTCTTCTTCTTGTATCTCGTCCTCCCCATCTAAATAAGCTTCTCCTCGTGTTTGTGCTGCAGGAACGTCTTCCCCGGTATCTTCACTTTCTACACAATCGATATCTTCTAGTTGAAACTTATCTTTTGATGGAGTTGCTTCTTCAATTGTCATAGCTAAATTTCTAGCAACATTTCTATTTCGTCGTAATGTAGAAGCAATAATATTCTGTGTCTTGAGGTCATCCTGGTGCTGCGAACGAAAGCACGAGATAAAGGGTGTGCGCGTGTATGCATGAGTTAATAAAACAATGGCAATGTAAGAAGTACCAGGGAACGAGGGATAGAGGGGGGGAAGCAATAAATATACACACAGTAATATATACGATACATGTGTCATATATAGCCAAATCTACAACTTTACAGTATCTACGCACATCTGTACGATCATACACTTTCCCCCTTTTTTTGATAGATTTACTTTTAAAAAGATATACGCAGAACCAACAAACAGGATAGCCGCTGTTTTGGACAAGAAGTTTCTGTGTGTTTTTTTTCCATGCGTTTCGCCTTCTTCATTAGCTCCTGAACATGCTTTGATGGGGCGGCTGGCATTATCCGTTTTGGCTTGCAAGGTTCCTTTTAAAGAACAACTGGTGGATGTTGTTTTTCTGTTCGCATGTGCCATGTTGCTATGTATCGTTATATTTAAGAAAAATGCACCAGACATAGCATGGTTTTCCAGCTGTTTTACATATAATACTCTTTGTGATGTGTAAAAAAATATATATATATATATGTTCTTCTTATATAAAAATTACATTTTGTACAAGGGCAAAAGGCATTACATATGATGATGCAACAATATACATATATAAATGTTTATGCAACCATTCCTTTTCAGGCAGTACTATTTATTTTGCGGTGTTTCAAAATAGTAGAGTTCTCAGGAAGGAAGTTGCTTACTTTTAAAACATAAAAACAAAGAAGATTCCTTTTTTTTTTTATAAAATATAAATGTATAACTTATAACAAATTTCTTAAAAACTTACTCTTTAAAAACATTACCAAAAAATTAAAATAAACAGGCACTAACATTTGCATAAGCAAACGATTGAAAATGTAATATATATGAACTGCCACCTCTTTTTTTTTGTTTTTTTTTTTGGTTATTGTACTTTACATTAAAATTTTTATTATAGAAAAAAAAGGAAATTAGCACTTTTACTCCCTAATTATTGAATAATTTAGAGAGGCAATAAGAAGAACTAAATAGAATAAAAAAAGAAGTTACCTAAAAAAATTGACTAAACAAAAGAAATAGTTGCATTTTTTATTATGGCAGCCGCAATAATATAACAGTGAAGAAGTTTATATATGCGGTGTGTTATTTAAAAGAAAAAAAAAAATAGATGCACCCTAGTGTATTAGTAAAAACAGCAGAATTTACACACTATAAATTTTTTCTTTTGTATTGAAAATGAAAAATATCTAATAAATGTATTTATCCTTTACAGGAAAAGAGTTATTTTAAGCCATTTATAAATATTAATTGTACACCATGTTTGTACTTTTTCTTGGTTTCGCGATTGTTTCAATGCGCTTTAGAATTTAGGGCTTTTTGTCGTTATAATGAAAACCATTATAAATATATGGGTACATATACATTAAGCTAATATTACATGCATACAACTCCTTGTGTACAGGTGATTAATATTTTAATATTAGATGACTAAATTATCCTAAATGATAGTCTGCGCAATCATTATATTACACAAATAGGTAGAAAGATGTTTCTCGTTGCATATACTGTATGGCGAAGCATAAAGTTTAAATCTAACGTATGAAGTTTCTTATGGAGTATTCTACACGTCCTTAATAATAAGGAAGTTGTAGGGTGATGCAGTTTTCGCAAAGCACTTACTTCCCCTAAAGGAGAGCAAGGGAAAGAAAAGAAAAAGGGGGAAGTAGCGTTACATAAGGATGTATAGGTTCATGAACCCTTTGACAAAAAGAGAAATGAATAGGAAACACAGATATAAGGATAGTAACGCATTATGCATAGCACTGAATAGATAAGAATAAGCTGTTCTTATCATGTGTGCCACTATCTCCATTGCTATATACCCCAGCCTTCTTGCCTAGAGCTTCTCTAAAGTTTTCTAACAAACTATCGACATATAATCCCCTGATATCATAAATTCGGTACATTCTACACTCATCCTCATGCCATTACCACTTCCGTCGTGCCCGCTATCGCTCATCGCTCAACCGAAGTGGGGCAGCGAAGCGGTAGCGCTGTGCTGTTACTCGCCCGCGTGCGTTTGGCCGTTCCTCCGCGTGTGCGTGTTGTTGTGTGGCGGCATCCATATTCGGCCGTATCGAGCCGTGTTTGTGTGCTGGGTGTATTCGTGCTTTCTGCCATCGGTCTTACCTGGCTGTCCTGTGGTTGCCGGTTTGAGATCGGTTTGTGGTTTGAGAGCCTCCTGTTCTACTTCCTGCATTACTTCCTTTAAGCCTTCCCTAATATCGCTGTTCTCCTTTATGCGTCCTGCCAATTCATTCAATTTATCCTGCCCTACATTTTGCCCGTATTCTACTATTTTATGTATTGTCTTAGCCTCGTCTCCTTCGAATATTCTTACAATTGGTCCCGCGTCCGCTGCACCCACCGAGACATCCTTCCAGCCTGGACCACTTACTGCTGTACATGTATCTTTCTCTTTCCCCGTCTTTATCTGCCCTCGCCGATTTGTCCTCCTCCAGCCCCGTATCCATTCTGCCATGGTCAAACCCACGTACTTCGTTCCTACTATTAACTTATTATAGTCGAGTGCCCCGCATGTTGCAGTATTGTCCTTAAAATTAAATAAGTTCAGTTCCGTTTTCATGTATGTCGAAACTGTCTTTGCCATTTCTACGTGTTGACAGTTCCCTCCGTACAGTTCCACCATAGCCACATTCCCCATTATACATCTTACCCACTTCTCAAATTCCCCAGTGTTTCCTGGTGTCACATCCGTTGTCCATACTCCATGTAGTTGCTGCAACCCATTCATAAACATATAAATATTTACCATCTGCCTGCATATAAGTGTATGCGCCGTATTATAGTTCTGATCCTGCGGAAAAAGCATGGTACACACTGCGGTGTTGTGCGCGTTAACCTTGTTTAAGTTCACCTGCAGCTTGTGGAAAATCTGTTCCATATCGTACCACACTAGTCTCTGCGTTTAGAATAATACATACACGTACACACATGTATTCTTGACTCTTCCATTATGTCCACATTTCCTGTGCCATTATGTATAGTGCATATATCATGCCACTATTGCTACGGCGCAACACTAATTACTGAACATACACACAAGGTGTCCGCATCGCACAATGTCCCCGTGTGCGTTATTCAAATATATGCACATCCCCTTATGCTGCGCCGGCATTGCATGAAAGCCCTTACCCAATAATCCTTGTCATCCCACATTTGCCTGTCTATTACCCATTTTGCTAGTATATCCACAAACTGTGCTGCCATGGTGTCCTTATACTTCGAGCATCTAATTTATACTAGTGTATTATAATGTTCCTAGATGAGCACGTCTGCTGCCAGAAGTTATACTTTGCAGCAAATTCCTTCATTTCCCTATGAATAATAAGTTCAAACTGTATAGATCTCACTAAACATCCATTTTTCTCCTATGTGTGAATTTTATAATATACACATGTACTTTTTATAGAAAAATTCTAACAAAAAACTAGGAAGAAAGTATTCAACCCTATTCCTACAAAAATTACTTATGCACTAATACACTATTACCATTTGCGCCATGGATATTACCCAGATTTGGCAAATAGGAACAAGCGATCCAACTTTTAGTATGCACCTTGATACGCTCATATATATACATATGTGCTCTCCGTATTGTCCCTGTTACTTAATCATTGTATTATCCCACGCGTCTGCTGCTTCCGAATTCTTTAATACTTCCTTCGAAGAAAACAAAATATAGCCAGAAAAAAAAAAATAGAAACAGTACTACACAACGCGACATGAATAACATCCCCCCAGCGCCTTCTCCACTAAACGCCGTCACACACACTGGCTCTGTGTGCGTACACCTAAAAACCGCAGTATAACAACAAAATCAAATTCTTCTGCCGTCGTTGCTGCCGTCCGCCGTCCTTGCCTCGTGCTTGCCTCCCACAAAATATGTGTGTTCCGTCAGCTCTCCCGCTCTCTCTGTGATCCCCCTCTCTCTGGATCCTTCCATCAAATCACGGCACACGGACAATGCCGTACTCGAACAATCTCCTTTACCCGGCCGCGTTTGCTCGGAGAGACAATCTCTCCCTCCTTTCTTACACTCGGAGACAATCCCGTTTACGGGGACGCGGCAACGACCGAAGAAGAATTGACGAATTGTCGCTTTTACTCCGGTTTTAGGTGTACGCACAGAGACAGTGTGTGAAGGCGTTTAGTGGAGAACGGGGTGGGGGGTGTATATTCATGACGGTGTTGTACCTTTCCTATTTTTTCCTTCCTTTTCTTCCTTTTTTTTTTTTTTTCTTTCTTTTTCTTTCTTTTTCTTTGCCTTTTCTTCCCTGTATTCTGTATTTGCCAATGCTATGGACACTTTCTGTTTTTGTAAATTCTTCCTTCTATTTTTATGTGCTTAATTTTTTCTCTTTTTATGGAAAATTTGATTCTTAAGCGCGGAGCAGTAAAGACAGACATAGGCAGTATTAGGGACTCAAATTGGAAGTAACAGGGAATTAATGCAATATAAGAAGAATACGAATAATAGTAATGTATAGTTATTTCTACGGGTACAGTATATTTCAGTTCATGGTAGCAGTATGGGAACGGTAGATTTAGTGAATGCATTGGCGGATTGGTTAATCCGCGCGGGGTTTCCCGTTCAGGACGAGTATGAGGTACGAACATACAGGAACAGATTTGCAGCACGGGGGAGTACAGTGCTTGGGTTTTATTGGTACAAGAAGGAATGAAGCGTAGCAGGGCACATAGCATTAAAGCACACATGCGCTTGCATATTTCTTGTGTTTCTTACATTGTAGGCAATGGTGTGGGAGAAGACCAAGGACGTAATGGAGGAATTTGTGGAATACATGCAGAATGAGCACATACTATTGTATGCATCGAATTGTGGTCACGCAGGATGGGAGCACCCCGACTACCAAGACGGTCTGCAGAGAGTAGGACACAAGGTCGGCGATAAAATTATATGCGTTCTTATGGTAGGGGCACTATATTACATGAATGGGTGGCATACTGCACAACACATTAGACAACAGGAGGATGCAACCAACGCAAGCATACGAGAGCACTTACGATGTATAATAGTACATATGTTCAGTCAAGTATTAAACGAATCCGTGTGTAGAAGTAAATGGGCCACATTTTATGCATGGCACATAATGGAACAATTAGGGAAGGTTGGAGGTTTTTCGCAAGGTTTAATACAGAGGGGGAAATGTGGTAGAAACATATCTGCACATTTGAAAATAAGAGAACTTGAGCTAAATGCACAAGTCAAACAATGGTTAGGGCAAAATAGCAAACTAAAAGAGGCAATACAGAAAATACAAGGAAAGGCATTGTGCACGACACCGTGGCAGGAAGAATGGAGCATAGACGAAATCCTGGGGCATGGGAATATAGATGATTCGCCACGACCGGAGATTGCTCAGATAATGCACGGACTGAAAGCAGGAATGGCGGAAGTATTTAAAGGAATTAAGCAAGATGTAGAGCATGGCATAGAAAAAAGGGCACAGGCGAAGAAGGACAACTTAGGTAAGGTATGCCAGGTTCGGGTACACTGAGACAGCTTAGAACGCAACAGGCAGGATAAGCACCCAGACGACAACTACAGACAGTTTCGAAGTAAAAAGGAAAGTGCACAAGGGAACAAGATGGTGATATGTGAACAACGTTCATTGCTGTGTCCTTGCAAGAACACAAAAAGTACATACTAACCCTTGTAATTCCTATTTCTCCCTTTATTGCAGCGAAGGATGACAAAAGAGGTCAGGCCGCGACCAAACCGGCAACACCATCACCACATGGACCGTCAGGTAAGACCGATGGGACAAAGCACGAATACGCGACCCGATACGGCCAAATACGGATGGAACGCCTGCTACGTACCGATACGCATATGGATGCCACCGCCAACAACAACACACGCACGAGGCACAACCTCTTCGCTGCCCCACATCGGTTGAGCGATGAGCGGCGCGGCCCTATTCGCTGACCCACTTGGGTTGAGCGGCGAATGTACAATTGCCGAGTGGAGCGGCCACGACGGCAGCGGCAGCTTTAGCAGTAGCGGAACTGACGGGGGAATATTTCCCCCCGGGGTGCAACATTTTTACCCGGGTGTGCAGAAGGGGTGGATATTAATGCAGGGCCAGAATTGTGGGAGTGTTAGGAAAAAAAAACAACAGCACTGTTACATTTTATAAAAATCTTTGCCACATGTTGTATGCATGGTAATCATAATGCAGTGTTTTTTATATGTAGGATATGAAATAATTGTTTCTTATATGTGTGCAATGTGGGCAGACTTTTCCCCTTTTTTCTTCTTAAAATGGGTTTCTCGCCCATAATATCAATAAACA